TTCTCAAGCAGTTTTGATGTAAAAGGCAGGGTAGCGATAGGCCTGTAATTTGCTATCACAGTGACATCATCACCAGGTTTCTTCAGGGTCGGCCGAATAACTGCTGCTTTCAAAGCAGCTGGGACCACACCTGTGCTGAGGCTCCCATTGATAATCTGACCAAGTGAAGGACCAAGGCACGGAAAGGCAGCCTTCCAGAGACGAGGCGGCAGAACGTCAAGTGGAGAGCCAGATGGCTTCTGCCTCGCAACAAGCTTACTCAGCTCAGAGTATGAAACTGTATTGAGGGAGCTCAGGGTGGGTGGTGATGGAGGAACTGGAACAGGGTCAACAGAGTTACCAGAAATAGCTGCTCTAATGCCTGATACTTTATCAACAAAGAATCTGTGAAAATCTTCAGAGTTTCCTGCAGCTGTAGGAGACATGGAGCTAGGCTCCTGATACACCAGAACTGAGTTTAGTGTTTTGTAGAGGATCTTAGGATTATTGGAGTTAGTTTCAATGATGTCTGCAAAATAGGCCGTTCTAGCAGCCCTCACAGCATCCTGATAAGCAACCAGAGATGCTCTGAACAACTCACGCGAGACCTGTAGGCCATCCTTTTTCCACTTTCTCTCAGAGGATCTACACACCCGCCTACAAGCCCGTGTGACATCAAAGAGCCAAGGCTCCCTCCTAGGCCTAGACTTGCAAAGTTTGAGAGGGGCAACCACGTCCAGGACCTGATTACAAAGTACATCAAAGTGTTGTGAATAGTGTTCAGTGTTAGATGGATCAGGGTTAAAGGTCTCTAACCTTACTGACATACAGTCCACAAACTTTGAAATAGTTTCTGCATCCAGGGCTCTGAACCTAGTAGCTGGAGCTTCACACACAGGGACAGGACATGGCAACGTAACATCACAGAGTATAGGAGAGTGGTCAGAGAACACAGGAGGCAAAGTCACAAGGTTCATGACAGGGAGACCAAAAGAGAGAACCAGGTCCAGGGTGTGACCACTGGCATGAGTTGGGGATGATACCCATTTAGTTAGATTGAATGAATCTAGCAAATTAAAAAAACCTTTAGCAAGCACATTGTCAGGACAGCAGATATGGATGTTAAATCACCAAAAAATAGGACATAGTCATATTTTAGGATGCAGTCTGCCACAAGATCACTGAAATCATTAAGGAAGTTAGAGTCAGTCTTTGGAGGGCGATAAATCAGCACAACGAGCAGGCGGGGGGAGATGCACAGTTCAAATAAGCACAGTTCAAAGGAAGAAAATGACATGGTGGGTGTAAGCTGTTTACAAGGAAAGCTGGATTTAAAAACAGCAACCAGCCCTCCACCTCTGCCCCGTGATCTGGGGATATTAAAACTGGAGCAGCCAGGTGGTACCAGCTCCAGCAGGGCGCTTGAGTCACCAAACGGGATCCATGACTCACAGTTGCAGAGAATACCCAAGTCATGCTGAATAAAAAAGTCACGAAGTATAAAAGTTTTGTTCAGCACAGACCTGGCATTGACCAGACCAAACCGGGTCTGCGGCGGGGCTGCAGCACCGAGATCGCGAACGAGCACAGTCTCCTTTAACTCTGAGCCCGTAACCGAGCGCGGATTCTCCCAGCAAACCCCAGTCTGGCGAGGTCTTCGAGCCGATCGGCTGTGGCGCGGTGCCTGTTCACTCTCAGAGCCGGTCAAGTTCCCTGGGCAGGGCACCGAGTAATCCAGGAGACATCTCGGAACCACCGGGTCAGAAGCTGTGCCGAATCGGACCAGCCGCTTCTTCAGGGATCCAGGCCGACGTCTTACGCCCCGGCTACTTCTCTTTCCCCGTCTTCTCCAATGCTTCCTTCTCGAGCTGGGGCGGACAGAGGGCCGACACATCACGTCTTGGGGGGAGAGAGCACATGGGCAGTCCAACCAGCAGCACCATCCGTGAGGTTCCCAGCTCGCGGAGCCCGCTACATCAATGGGAGGACGAAGCCTCAGCAGCGCGGCTCGATCGTAAGTCAGCAGAGGATCCACACCATTCAAAAAAAGCATCAGAGACAACAAAAATGCATAAAAGCCAATACAACGCCAATAAAAGCCAGTAAAAAGCAAGGTACCACTGCGTAAAGAGGACGAGCAGCTCGCAGCGTGCACCCGCGCAAGCGCCATCTTAACTCTCAGATACGTGTTTTCCAGTCTGAATGTCCTAATTTTGGATGAAACTATGAAACGGCTTAGATTAGGGTGGACTCTCGGCCCAGCCCCCCTCATAGTCAGACCATGATTTATGACATGGTCCACCAAATTTGCTCTTATGTCATCAGAAATAATGGTCCTTGCATGGCCTCTTTGACCACATCCTTCTCTCTCTCTCTCTCTCTCTCTCTCTCTCTCTCTCTCTCTCTCTCTCTCTCTCTCTCTCTCTCTCTCTCTCTCTCTCTCTCTCTGCCTCTAGCTCTCCATTCTTCTATGCTTGTAAAGTTCTCAGAATGGCTTAAGTGAGTCTTTTTGTAGTTGGATGATTGGTGTTCTGTTTTGTGAGTAAGTGTTGTCAGGTGTGTGTCTAAGTATTTTCAATGTAGCGGAATATAGTTGGTATATTCTAACACTTTTATTAAGGTTCAGAGATATCACTGATTCAAACCTGAGCTGGATCATTAATCTTTGGACCGGGCACTTAGAATCAGAAGAGGTTGTTTTTACCACAGGGAATTTTATTCAAACACCTTGTATTGGGTTAGAAACAAGAAGAGAGAGATGGGACGTTTAAGAATATTTATTTCATAATTATTCGAAACAATCACCAGGACTAACTCTCTTATGATTGATGCAGATGAATGTGTTGGTGTGTGTGTCAGTTCAGAATCTCCATCTGACCGAGGCGAGTCTGAGGGCAAGATGTTGTTTTGTTTAACTGATCGATGATGGATTTCAGGAGGAAGACATGAGACGCAATCTATGCCGATCTACGTACCGTTCGGAGACTCCCCGTGTAAGATCCGGATGCCAGGTCCTAGGACCCTCCTTTGGTGCTGGAACTGTTGAAACAGCGTCTGCAGCACGACAAACCAGTCTAAGGATGATCTCCCGGTACAAAGGCAGGTTTCAGCGTCACGTAGAGAGTTCAGCTTTTTTTCTGAAGGAACCGTCGTCTTGTTGGTAAAACGACAGAATTTTCCAGCTTGACAGTTCTCAGCTTAAAAGTAGAAAATACAGCTGGCCAGTCTGTACTTCTCTTAGCGATGATGGATTTGAGAGCTGGTCGAGTACTTGGTTGGAACTGCGTTGAACCAAGTTGAACTACGTTGAATGCTTTTTTGGAGCTTAAATGGAAGTGACTTAAAATGGCGTTGTTCTGTTTTATTAAGCTTAGTTGTTTTTGAATCTTAGCCAATCGGAGTGGACAGATTAACTAAACACCACAGAGCTCTGCCACGCATCAGAAAGGAGGTTCTGATTGGATGGACATCAGAATGTCTAGCTCAGTTAGTCCAAAGTCCTGTTATTCATTAAACACATAAATCATAACATTGTGATTTCACAGATCAGTCCTCTGATTATTATTGACCAACAGTTGTTTTGATTAGCTTTATTAGAAATAAAGTTCTTTGATTAACTAATGAAAAGCGTTCTTCGTCCTTCTTCTGTCTTCTTTGCTAGAATGTAAATATCAGAAGCAAGCACACGACCTTGGCAATTTATGCACACTGTCACTGTGTCAAAGGGCAGCTGTTAAGGGCAGAAATGGTGTTACACCCCTCTATGGGCTCAGCTAGGAAGGTGAGGGGAATAAACACAAGATGGACCAGTCTAACAAAAAGTGACCCTCGTTGGAGAGAAAAAGGCACCTCTTGTCCAAGCAAGACCAAACTCAAAGTTTCCTTTTAAGGATTTTATTACAAAAAGAAAGTACCCAAAAGAAGGGCCAAAAACCCTTACCAAACTAAGTTTAAACGAATAACTGAAAATGTTCAGAGGACCAACCACTCTTAAAATTAATCTCCTTTATTTAAAAAGGGAATGAAACGCAAAAGGGGAAAATCCCACCCTTAAATTAACCAAGGTTTGTCTAACAGACAAAACCAAATGCTGAATTAACTTAGGTTACCCAAACAACAAAAATAGCTCAGGAAACTGAGACTTCAAAAGGGGAATAATCCCCACCTGGTAATTTAAACCACAAGGTGGTCTAGCAGACACACCAAAACCAAAATTACCGCTTAAATGCAACTATCCCAAAACACAAAAGGTTCTAAAGCTGCTTCTGTACAAAAAGCCAACAACAACCTGTTAACTGCCAACGGGGAGAGAACAAACGTTGCCTCTGCAACTCCAAACATTTCTCTCCCCTGATGAGCTCCAGCTGGCCGCTTTTGAAGGGCCGGCTGATGAGATAAAAAGTCCCAGCTGCTTGTGCCTGCCGCTCCGGCGCTCTCCATGGTGCTGGAGTAAGGACAACATCTCAGAGCGTAGCTGTCCGTGGTGCTGCGCTGCTGCACAGGGAACGGCGCGGAGCACACCTCTGGGCTTCAAAACGGCAGCGGCCGTAACATCCCCACCCTTAAAAGAAAAAAGGAGGGGGTGAGATAAAGAATCTAAAACCATACCTAAGACACCACCATCTTTTTTCTTAAAACGCAAGATACATTTAAAACTCAACAGTATCCTCCATTTACACACAACCAGGGCATCCCGCTAACTACCTATGGGGGAGCTTCTCTAACTCAACCCTTGCTCTTCATGCGGGTTAAGGCGGGCAGATTAAGCACATGTGTGGATGTACACATACAAACCAGCGACGACGAGGGGTGGCCCATTGGCAAGCCTGTCCCCCATCACCCTGGGGTGCTCCCGAGATGTCTGCAGGACACAGACAACACTAGCCTCTTGCCGCAACCCTAGAGAAAATAACAAACGGCAACACCCTAAAGAGGGTGAAGCCCTTGTGCCTACAAGGGGCCCTGGAAGGAGGAGTTAAAACAAATTGTATGCATCTGTGATATGTAGTGGTTATTGGACGCTACAGGTTACCAAAACTTCTGGACAACCCATCAGCAATGATGTTGTTAGTCCCCTTCTTGTGTCGAACCTCGATGGCATATTCCTGTAGGATGAGCGCCCACCGCATGAGCCGCTGGTTCTGGTTATACATCCTACTGAGGAAAGTCAAAGGGTTATGGTCTGTATACACTATTGTAGGAGAACAACTGGAACCCACGTAAACGTGGAAATGCTGCAATGAAAGGAGTAGAGCCAACGTTTCCTTTTCAATGGTGGAATAGTGCAGTTGGTGTCGGTTGAACTTCTTAGAAAAATAACAGACCGGATGATCAATACCAGCTGAATCTTCCTGGATCAGCACACTTCCAGCGGCTATAGCGCTGGCATCAACTTCCAGCTTGAACGGCCTGGTCAGATCGGGTGCAGCCAGGACAGGAGCAGAGCACAGCAGCAGCTTGGCAGCCTCAAAAGAGGCTTGGCACTCCGGAGTCCATTCAAACTTCCTTTTGGGACTTAGCTGATCTGTGAGAGGAAGAACAACGGCAGAAAAGTTTCGACAAAACCCCCTATAGTATCCAACCATGCCCAGGAACCGTCTCAGTTCTCGGCGAGTAGAGGGAGGAGGAAACGACATCATAGCCTTCACCTTTTCATGCAGGACCTTTACTTCCCCCTGCCCAACTTCTTTACCTAAGTAAGTGACGGTAGCCTTAACAAAGTCACATTTGGCCAAGTTCAGGGTCAGGTTGGCCTGCACCAGACGATCAAATAACTGAGTGAGAGTGTTGAGGTGTTCTTCCCAGGTGTCTGTATAAACAACAATATCGTCGAGGTAAGCACTACAATGTGAGAGGCCAGAAGTAACAGTGTTAATTAACCTTTGGAAGGTGGCAGGTGCATTTTTCATGCCAAAGGGTAACACAGTGTACTGTAAAAAGGCATCTGGGGTAACAAAAGCTGACATAAGAGAAGCTTCTTCTGTTAAAGGTACCTGCCAATATCCCTTTAACAGGTCCAACTTAGTCACAAACTTGGAAGGTCCCACACTGTCAACGCAATCATCTATACGGGGTAGAGGATATGAGTCTGAGATGGTAACCGCATTTAACTTCCTGTAATCGGTTATAAACCGAGCGGTTCCATCTGGTTTCCTCTCCACCAGACAGGGTGAACTCCAGGGGCTCCTGCTGGGAATAGCAAAGCCATTTTTCAATAAGTACTCCGTTTCTTCTTTCATAATCAGTCTTTTCTCGGGACTAGCACGGTACGGATGCTGTCTAATGGGCTTGGCTTCACTCACCTCAACATGATGTGCTAACACAGTGGTCTGAGTGGGCACATCAACAAACAGACTCTTCCTAGAGTGAATTAACTTCACCAAGTCTCCAGCCATTTCAGGTGACAAATGTGTTATCTGTCCTTCCAGTTCCTTAAGTGCCTCGGAGTTATTTAACCGAGGACTACAACTAGAGGGGAAGTCTTCTCCGACTTCACCAGCTTCCTGTGGTACCATAGGTTTGTTAGCAGCATCTGGTACTAAAACACAAGTTGTTACAGGTTTAGACAGAGGGGAACCATCCTCATAGCGCTTCAACATGTTAACATGACAAACCCTGCTTTTCTGTCTCCTGGCAGGTGTGTGTAGCACATAATTTGTGTCCCCGAGCTTACTCAGGATCTCAAATGGTCCCTCAAATTTGGTGCTGAGAGCCGAATTGGACAAAGGAGTTAGAACCAGTACCTTGTCTCCAACTGCAAAGTTACGTCTGGTTGCCGTCTTATCATACTGAACCTTCATCTTCAGTTTAGCTTTGTCCAAGTGAGTTTTAGCAATAGAGTTTGCTTCCTTTAATCTTTTCTGGAAGAGTTGGACATACTCCCTCACTTTTCTGTCAGGCAGATCAGAAAAAAGAAATCTCTCTTTTAGAGCTTTCAGGGGACCACGAGGAGTGTGTCCAAACACAAGCTGGGCAGGACTAAAACCAAGAGAATCCTGCACAGCCTCACGAGCAGCAAACAACACAAAAGGCAATCCTTCTTCCCACGTTTTGCTTTTACTTAAGCAATACTTTGTCAGCATTGCCTTTAAAGTTTGGTGCCATCTTTCCAAAGCGCCTTGACTCTGAGGATGATACGCGGATGACATGACATGTGTGATTCCTAAGGTTTTTGTTACCTGTTTGAACAGTTTAGATTTGAAGTTTGTCCCTTGGTCGGTCTGTATTACCTTTGGTAACCCAAAGATGGAGAAGAAATGGGTTAGAGCTCTGATTATAGACCTGGTGGTGATGGAGTTCAGCGGTATGGCCTCCGGAAACCTTGTAGCTGAACACATAAGGGTTAACAAAAATCGCTTTCCTGTTCTAGAAGGAGGTAAAGGTCCCACACAGTCTAAGATGACATGGTCAAAAGGCGTACTCACTACAGGAATGGGCTGTAACGGGGCAGGAGGAATGGGCTGGTTCGGCTTTCCTGTCATCTGACAGACATGGCAACGCCGACAGAAGAGAGACACCTCTTTCTTCATCCCTGGCCAAAAGAAATGCTGCAACAACAGTTTCTAAGTTTTGTTGACACCCAAATGGCCAGACCAGTCACTCTCGTGTGCCAAGGAGACCACATGTTCTCTGTAAGAGGATGGAACAATTATTTGTTTCACCAACCCCCATTCCATGCCCTCAGCCACGGGCTGAGGCCAACAACGCACCAGCACATCATTATCTAATAAATAATGTGTTGTAGTTTTGTCTGTTTTATCTGAAGTGGTCACCTGTTCAAAATAAGGTTTCAGAGTAATATCACTCTTCTGTGCAGCAGAAAGGGTTTCTGCCGTAAGTGGAAAAGGTTCTCCTTGCTGAGGATCAGCATCAGCCTTTTCTCTCTGCTCTTCTGCGTCTGATGACGGAACAAATCCAAGTCCATCATGGGCTGTCTGTTCGGAGTCATCACTGAGGAGTCTCATCAGCACCGAGTCACTTAATTGGATGTCCACATTATTCTGCGTTTGCGAACGGGTGACAGCACAAGCTGGGTAAAAATGTGAATCAGCAGCACAATTTACATGTTCGGCTTGAGGTTGAGGAACTACTTCTAGAAGAGGTAGCACTTTACCTCCAGCAACATCATTCCCCAACAACACATCAACCCCGTTTACCGGTAAATGGTCACAAATGGCAACATCAAAGCAGCCGCTAACGAGCTGGCAGTCCAGGTGAACGCGGTGCACCTGGGCAGGCAGGGATTTCATTTCAATTCCCTGTAACAAAACAGCGTACCCGCGTGAACTACTGGCTGAAAATGGGAGTGCGCTGCTCAGTATTAACGTTTGAGACGCACCTGTGTCTCTCAAAATGCGAACGTTTTGCTTGTCTGCATCACCAGGAGTCAACGAGATCTCCCCCGAAAGAATAAAGGGTGCAAAACAAGCATCAGGCTCCCCGGCGGCGCACAAGGGGTTAACCACAGGCGACTTTTTTAAGGAATGCAACTTCCTTAGGAGCTGCAGTGGGCTTCCCGTTCTTTTTCTGCAACATAAAACAATCCTTAAGAACGTGTCCCGTTCTGTGACAATAGTAACAGGTACGGGTTTCAGGATTTCCGTTTTGAGAGCTTCTTTTTATGGATTTCTTCATCAAAACGGGCTGAACGTCTTTTCTCTCATCTCTCCTCACAATCTCTCTGTGAGTGAGTGTGAATTCGTCCGCTAAAAGGGACGCAGCTGATAAAGTGCTGACTTTTTGTTCATTTAAGTAGGTTACCAGTCTCTCAGGCAGCTTACGTTTAAAATCCTCCAAAAGGATAAGCTCTCGGAGGTCACTCAAAGTTTTAATTTTTGTGGACGAACTCCATTTATCAAACAGCATGCTTATTTCACGTGCAAATTCCACATGTGTTTGTCCAGCACTTTTCTTAGCTTGTCTGAATTTTTGACGATAAGCTTCAGGGATTAACTCATACGCTTGTAGTATAACAGTTTTCACTCAGTCATAGTCCAGACTATCTGTGACAGGGAGCGCAGACAGAACTTCTAAAGCTCTGCCGCTCAGCTTGCACTGGAGCAGCAGAGACCACACCCCGCGCGGCCACTGCAACGTCTCCGCAATTCTTTCAAAAGCTACAAAATAGCTGTCAACCTCGGTCTCTCTAAATGTAGGCATTAAGGAAATGCACTTACTAATGTCAAAGGCCGGGGTTGTGGCGGGTTGCGGAGCTTTGGTGGGCGTGATATGAAGTCCAGGGTTGGAAAGCTGGGCTTCCAGTTCCAATTTCCTTATTCTCACAGCTGTGTCAGCTTCAATCTCCATCCTCCGAACCTCCAGTTCCATCTGGAGTCTTTTAGCCTGGGCTCTCTCCTCTCTTTCCATGTCCAGACGTGCCAGCCGCACCTGTAGTCGTGTGTCTCGAGATCCTTCCGTCGGCGAACCTGGGGAGGTCGGAACAGACTTTCGTACGGTTAGAGGAGTTTTTCCTGTCTCCATCGTCTCACCCTCATGATCCTCCGCAGCAGCAGGGACTTCAGGATTGTCACATTCATCAGGATCTGCAGGAGATCCTTCTGGTTCCGTCTTTGCACCAGACTCATTCTCAGTCTTTAAAATCCCCATGTCCTCCAAATGCTCCACAATGAGCAATTTCAAGTCTTTTTTCAGCACAGGGTTTGGGATGTCAAGAGCAAGGTTGACAGCTATCTGCAGAAGGTCAGCCTTGCGGCAACGCTCCAGCACCTCACGGGATGGAGCCTCCATAAATGTCTCCACACAAAACTGAGCCATGTTTAAGCACAAAACAAAATGACACAACACAAAACAGCGTGGGTTTTGTGTCTTCGCAAAACCAACAAAGAGCAAATGTTAAAACTAGTCCAAACGTTTGGCACGGGCTTAACTGATCTAAAACAGGCTATAAACGTGTAATAAAACAGCTATAAATCAGTGTAAATCCCGGACGAGCCCCCATTTATGTTACACCCCTCTATGGGCTCAGCTAGGAAGGTGAGGGGAATAAACACAAGATGGACCAGTCTAACAAAAAGTGACCCTCGTTGGAGAGAAAAAGGCACCTCTTGTCCAAGCAAGACCAAACTCAAAGTTTCCTTTTAAGGATTTTATTACAAAAAGAAAGTACCCAAAAGAAGGGCCAAAAACCCTTACCAAACTAAGTTTAAATGAATAACTGAAAATGTCCAGAGGACCAACCACTCTTAAAATTAATCTCCTTTATTTAAAAAGGGAATGAAACGCAAAAGGGGAAAATCCCACCCTTAAATTAACCAAGGTTTGTCTAACAGACAAAACCAAATGCTGAATTAACTTAGGTTACCCAAACAACAAAAATAGCTCAGGAAACTGAGACTTCAAAAGGGGAATAATCCCCACCTGGTAATTTAAACCACAAGATGGTCTAGCAGACACACCAAAACCAAAATTACCGCTTAAATGCAACTATCCCAAAACACAAAAGGTTCTAAAGCTGCTTCTGTACAAAAAGCCAACAACAACCTGTTAACTGCCAACGGGGAGAGAACAAACGTTGCCTCTGCAACTCCAAACATTTCTCTCCCCTGATGAGCTCCAGCTGGCCGCTTTTGAAGGGCCGGCTGATGAGATAAAAAGTCCCAGCTGCTTGTGCCTGCCGCTCCGGCGCTCTCCATGGTGCTGGAGTAAGGACAACATCTCAGAGCGTAGCTGTCCGTGGTGCTGCGCTGCTGCACAGGGAACGGCGCGGAGCACACCTCTGGGCTTCAAAACGGCAGCGGCCGTAACAAATGGCATATTCATAACGCTACATCAATTACCCAATGTGTTTTGTATTTTGAATTGATGTGTTTTCCCAATGGTACCGTGAGATTCCATTTTTGAACAAAGTGTCTTATTTATGAAAATGTGTGAAATGCGCAGGAGCACAGAAATGCAACTAAAGTGCTAAGCAGCACTTTTGTTTAAGGTATGATTACACTTTGTTTAAGGTATAGTGACAACAACTTCAAGTTATGTTACTCTGGTTTAACCCTCCCACTGTCCTAATGGGTGTGACCCCGCAATGAAAGTTGACCATTGAGCAGGGTTGATGGTTTATCCCTTGTGTCCATGGGGCAGGGGTGAGGAATGTGGACCTCAAGGGATAAACCATCAATCCTGCTCAATGGTCAACTTTCCTCGCCGGGTCACCCATAAAGACTGGGAGGGTTAAGCATGTGTATAGTGTTCAAGCAATAGGCAAAAACTGTAATCATGTGGCAGTCCTTCTCATTCAGCTATTCTTGTTGCATTTGAATGATTCGCCTCAGATCATGAGCTGCATGTTTACAGCTTTACATGCAGCCAATCTGGTGTAGCGTCACACTTTATAGCGTAAGGACTGCATATTTAATTATGACCAATAAGATGTGATATTCCATACAAATATGAAATATCAACCTGATTGATCTTTGAATGTTTAATCAGAAGATTTTAGGATTCCTTGCTTGTTCAGGGACCATAAACACACTTCATATTAATTCAGGCAGAGTCAAGTATATAGTAAAATAAATAAATTTTTTTTGTAAACTAATGATAAAACACGACAAGCTGTGAATAATGATACGTGATGGAGTGAATATGCAGTGATGCAATGTGAGTTGTTGGTGGTGTAAAGTAGATGTGTATCAGAACCTTTATATCTGAAAGAGATTGTGAATTCTGGGTGTAAAAGACTTAGTTGTCTGCTATAAAGTAGAGAGTTGATTATTAATAAAACATCAGACGCAATCTGTTGTGTCTACAAACCCTGATCGGAGACACCTGGTCAGACTCGGGATGCCAGGAAGTTGGGTGGACCTCAAGGCACCGAAGTTTGAAGAATAACCACAGTACGACCAGTCCGGTCTAGAGTTGTCTCTAGGTCACAACAGGCAGGAAGGTTCGTTGCATCTAACACGGATGTTCTTAAGGAGTCGTACGGCGGTGTCAGCTGGCAGTGTGCCAACAGGTTTGACTGTGTGTCAAAGAGAGAGTTGTCTCAAGGAGGCTGGTTCTGAATTGGCCACTTCAGAGTTCCACTTGAAAACTGAGTAACTCGGGTAACCACTCTAGTTTTAATAATCTAGAGTTTATGATTTCTGTGAATCAGAATTTGACATGTTTGTAGGCATTACCAAACATTCCTCAGAAAACCACACCGTCCAGATACAAGCTGTTCTAGTTCTGTGGATAAAGAGTCTTTAAACTTTATGTGAGGTGACCCTTAACCTTAACTTGAATCTAATGAGCATTGTGTATGAGTGTAGATAATGATTAACTTGTTAAATCTAACATTACTGATCATAAGACATAAATGGATCATTTTAAGCACAATATTCATTTCAACCTCACTGAATTAGGCACAGATTATTCAAACATTTCATATAACATCTGGTTCATTCAACCTTATGATTATTTATGATAATTTAACTTATGAGTTGTTAAAGTTCACTTTTCATTCAGAGTGTGGAGTCCAGCAGTCTGAGATAAGAGGACAGCCTTTGTTTGGAGACCTAGGTTGACAATCTTATCTTTATGGAATGTCAGCAAGCACTGCAGAATCTTCTGGATGTTAGAAGATAGAATAGAAAATCCACCTAGATAGTGGAATTGTGTCTGTAGATGACTGGCCACTATGTAGGTCAATATATAGGTCAAAATTGACCCTTTCTTGATGTTACACTGTCCAACATAGTGGCTGTTTTCTTCAGTGAGCTCCCAGAACCACCTTATAGACAAATATGGAAACATTTTCATTCAGGCCAAGTACAGATGTAGCTGGACTTCTGTAAAAGCATGTGTTCTCTCTCTCTCTCTCTCTCTCTCTCTCTCTCTCTCTCTCTCTCTCTCTCTCTCTCTCTCTCTCTCTCTCTCTCTCTCTCTCTCTCTCTCTCTCTCTCTCTCTCTCTCTGCAAACATAAGCATGACTACAGTCCATTTAGAAACAAAACATGAGAACATGGAGCAAAAGTTCATGTATGTATGTAATCCAGCTCATATTTGGGAGATGAGGTCAGAGAGGCCAGACTGCGATAGTTTGGACATGTCCAGAGGAGGGACATGATTCCAGAGGTAAAATGATGCTGAGGGTGGAGTCAGCAGGCAGGAGGCTGAGATGAAGGACTATGAGATTATAGATGTGGTGAAAGAGGACAGAGAATGCAGAAGAGAGGACTAAACTGAGACAGATGACTGGCTGAGGAAACGTCTGAAGGGAGACGCCAAAAAAAGAAGATAATAAATTGATCTCAAAACCTCGTTCACCAATACTGAGTTTTTCTTCCATCAAATTAAGCTTCTTTATTCTGACTTAATGGCAACTGATCTGAAACATTGATCTGTTGCTACCTGCTTTCTGCCTTTGGCATCATGTCTCTGCAGAAAACTGTCACTGCTAATTCGAGAGTCCTAGTGACTTTCCCGCTCTCTCCACTTACCCACTGGCAGATGTTTAACAAAGAACCGGAGCAGCAAACTCACTATGAGCAGTGGCAGCTGTTGGGTTACAGATGCTGGCTGCTGACTAGAAGTGCTGCACTTCATCAGGCCCCATCAATAACAGGCCTAATGTGTTTGGATTTTGATTTAAAATATAATCTGTGTTTGTGGCCCTGTCTAAATAATGATCATTTTGCTACCCCTGAGACAGAATTTCACACTTTGATTACATATAATGGAAACTGCTGCATGGAGATTTCAATAATGTGACAGGTGACAAAGAGAGGAGGAAGACTTAGCAATGGAGACAAACAACCTCGCTCCTTAACTGGGACAAGAAAATAATAACGTTTTTCTCCACTAATTAAATGCAACTTTTCATGAAGGCATTTTGCTGGGTGATTTATGGTTCTCTGAGACTGTCACTGTGTGTGTTGGCAAACAGATGCTAAAATACTTAATGCTGATGAAGCTCATCTAAATTAGCAAAGCAGAGACGGAGAGAAGCCAAGGGTTATCTGGCATCTGCAGCGTCTCTGGTTTTTAAATAAACACAGATCAACAGATCAGTCAGATGAAACAAATGTGAAAAAGATTTAGTCAGTGTGTGTGTGTGTGTGTGTGTGTGTGTGTGTGTGTGTGTGTGTGTGTGTGTGTGTGTGTGTGTGTGTGTGTGTGTGTAAAAGAGAGAGATTTTTATTTTCAATTATCTTGCTTACGTGTGAACCAACTCTAAGAGCGTTCTGCTGAATCCCCATTTTCCTTTAATCTTCAGCTGCATTTTATGCTGAGATGAAGCATAATGCACATCAATCAGACACACACACACACACACACACACACACCAATGCATATATCAAAGATAAAATTAGTGATATCAAACAGAGTTATAAATATGTAAATGAGGTTCTCACCCGGTCGGTGCTGTGAGGAAGGAAAACGTGTGCAACAAAACGCTGTTGATACAAACCCTCAGAAATTAGTTTTTAAAAAGCCACCTACATTCGTTTTGTGTACACCTGGGGAAAATAGATAAATAAAATGATGTGGGTCCGTTATTAACACTTAAGTTCAAGAATTGAACACAAAAGCTTAAACCCTACAAAAGCTGCTCTGTAGACATCGCTTGAAGAGCAGTAAGATTCCCTTTGTCGTGCTCCTATTTACACTTGGGTCCGCCTTTCACAAGGACACGGCTCTAAGAAATCTCTCCTTTCAAATTTCAGAAATGTTTTTCTAGTCACAAGAATTTATTTAAAGCACTCGTTAACAGCTTTTGACACAAAAAGTAGTTAAAACCTGAGATTTGTTTAGTTGTTGGACTAGTTTGTGTTGAAGGGCAACCTTGGGCATATAATGGACTGTTTTAATGACAATAAACACAAGAGGTGGTTGAAAATTTCTGGTTCTGCTTAAAGAGGACTTAAAATGCCCTTAAGAGAAAAGTGTAAATCACAGAGCCATGCTTCAGCCCTGTTTCACAACAGTTTTGAGATTTCCATGTAGGGATTTTTTTTTATTCTAAGAAACTCTAACATTAGTTAAGGTTTGAATCTGCAGACATTGTCCATCCATCCGTCTATTTCTTCCACTTATCCAAGGTCAGGTCACATGTGTGTCAGGTCTATTAGGGGGACTTTTGTTCAGAGGAACCATTAGAAAATTCCTGCTAGGCTTGACCTGTGGATGCACCAGCAGGGGTACGTTTAGCTGCTGGTGGCGATGCTTGTGAATGAGAAAAGATATATACAACCTTGTAATGCAAAACTGAAAGAGCTAAGCCCTAGGTCTTTTTTCTTCTTCTTTATCTGCTCCAAAAGGACATGCCCACACTATAATACATGTATCTCAGTGACAACAAGGTCTATTTGATTGCATTGGGTCATATTTTAAATGTGTGGGATTTGATCAAGTGTGTAATTATTAGTATATGTGTCACCGATTAAGTGTAAATGGACATGGGACATCGTAAAAGAATAGATTTTTTTTCTTTGCCGCCTGAAAATGTTTGATTTCAGAATGATACCTCTTGAAAAGGGCATATGTAGTTTCAAACTTGAGTGAATTCACAGACCTACATGTTGACAAAGTTACAAATTTTGAGTTTGATAACGTGAAGAACAACAAAATACAAACGTTTATATACAGACACCTCCGCGCGGTCTCATTTGGCACATCTGTGACATTTGTGTTTGTGTTGCAATAACGCTTCTTCCACGGAAACGTTTTTGTTGTCCAACCTTTTAGCATCTTTGTTAACGTTAAGTCATTCAGTGACAACATTTTATGACATTTTTGAAATCACTTGCATACAAATATGCTAAGGACATTGGCTTAAGCTCCGTCATGCAGGAGAGGATCTCAGGATCCCATTGGACTATTTTAGTGACTCAACCCCTGGGGAAACGTCTGAGCCAATAGAATCACCCCAACCCAAACCAATCACAGAAGAAGAATCGCCATTAACCAGAAAAGGATGGAACTTGGTGTCTGAGATATGTAAAGACTCCAGCATGTACAAATAGCCCAAAACAGTCATGAATCAGCTCAGTTTGACAATGATTACAAGAACCAAGTGGATCTTTTCACTATGACATGGACTATGAGCAAGACTGAATTGTCAATTTTGACATGAAAGCAGCTTTGTTTTGATGCTTTAGTGGTGCACTGTGTCTTTTGCACGGAGTAATTCAGCTCAAGACTTGTTCAAAAAGCTCTTTTAATATTCTCCTGTTGATTTTCGTTCATGTTCTGAGCTTCAGATTCTACCAGGTGTGTCCCTGTAAGGTAAGATCCTGATTGGCCCCAGATTGATTGAGGTTGAGACTACAAGATAAGGGTCAAAGTCACGAAATTCAATTTCAAACTTCAACGTTAGAAATGTAATGATTTAACAATGTATTTATTTATTTGTACACATGTATCTATAACATTCCAGCCTGGCAAGCCATCCTATATATGTGAATATGTAGTCTGACCACGGCTCATAGACAGATCTCAAACTGTCTCCACGTGCAAGTGGACAACGAACAACGGGACGTACTCACTGCTACAGTTGTCAGTCAACGGGTCCACCGTACACTGAAGAAGAAGACGCAAATCCTTTTTCTGCTCTTGGCTCATAGAAAAGCCGTAGTCTAAATAGTCCAAAGTTGATGCCAAAGCTGTTTTTCACGAGCCACCGCCATCTTTGTTGTTTTGCTGAGTCGCAGTAACATCCCGCCCACCAAACCGCTAGCGCGCTGTGATTAGCATAGCAAATTAACCTTGCTGGGCCTGCTGAGGCTAACCTGCAGAGCAAAATCCTTTGCTTCTTCTATGGTTTTACAGTAAAAGCCACGGAGGGTCAACTATCCATTTAACCAAAGTTAAATTAAAAGCCCCAAATATGGTTAATAACAGATACATTCTCTGCATAGCGCAGGATATCTTTCACACCCAGAATAACCACATAATGCTAATGACCCCCTCCCTCCCATGCCAGCAGACTTTCAACAACTTCTAGCTGAGGAATGGGTGTGTTGTGTTTGTGGAAGCCGCTGCTGAAGATATCAGAGGTTCACATTAAAGTTTTGGATGAGATTTCCTGTTTTTTATTCCATCATGCTTAATTAAACCGTTGTAATGTAGCATGTTTTTTTCTCTTCTCCACATGATACCTTTTGGCATCTTTACCCACAGGGCATTTCAGCTACAATTATCAGCCCTATCTCTCACATGCATTTGATGTAAGAGAAGCCTTTCTATTTTCACCGGAGCAGCTGAATAATTCCACTCACTTCATATACTTTGCTGGGACCCTGAGGATACCGTATCTTGGTGCTTCAGGCTTCTTGACAGCTGCAGAATATCAGCGCAAACATCAGTGGAGGATCTTAGTTGCCTCTGCTGCTGTGTTACTGCGCCATTTGTGATGTGCAACCTGTGATCTTTTTCAGTGCACTATTCACTAAAGTAGCAATATTTCAATGCAGCAACAATTTAATCTTTGCTTTTTAACTTTTCCACGTGTGACGTTTATGGTTGTTTAGATCTGTGGAATTCCCTCTCTAGAACTGAGGATTTAGAAAATGTATGGCCATCCTTATTTAAATAATAGAATTTCAAAGAACGGCAATAAATCATCAGCTTTCATATTCCAAGTGCCACGCATTCATGCCCTGCATGTCAATGATTTATTCTGCCAAAAGGATTGACTCGTGTAGCCTTAGACACCCACACCTGAATTAGATGACAGCAGCTGCAATGCTAAAATACTAAAAGTTTGATGAGCATCATGAGAGCACAAGAGAGGAGAGAGAAACATTCACATTTATCTCAGTTGTCGTCGCTTTAATATTCAGCCATAAATACTGGAACTGACGTTCTGTTTTGAGCAGAGAAGAGAGTGTTTTGGTGTTGCTGTCCAGGGTGATGGTGATGATGGAGTTAGGGCTTTGCTCTGCTCTGTTGTACACAAGGAGCTGAGCTCCCTTCACTGGTCAGTCTTTGTTTCAGCTTATAATCTTGAAATATAGTTGGGGAGTTAGAGAACACTAGCAGGACACAACTGTTAAAATGACCTCCCTCTGTTGGCTAGCTTACCTCTGCCTAAGGCCAGAATATCCTTGCTTTTTAATCTTGCCTTGATGCAGGCAGCAGGCTGTGTCTTTTTTCACATACGGCTGCAACTTTGGACTCATCTCAGCCTAAAAATTACAGACGCATTTCTAAATGTCCCTTTATCATTCCAAAAGTCCCTCGTTAGACCAAAAGTCACACTCTCAAGGAGAGGCGTCCTTCCAGTTTCATGGCCCTCGTCTCTGGAACAGTTTGCCAGAGGATCTCAAGGCCGCGGAGAATGTTCTTTCATTTAAGGCCAGGCTCAAGACTCACCTTTTTATTATAGCTTTTAGCTGAACTTGATCAATTTTAGCCTGTTTAACATCTTTCATATATTTTAACAATGTTTTATTACTTACTCTTTTACTTAAATGACATTTACATTTTCTTATATATTCATAATTGCATGTTTCTACTTGATTATCTCAGTGTGTTTTACTTAGACTTTTATTTATCTGCTCTTTATGCAAATTAGATCTTGCCATCTTAATCTTTTCAGGTTTTACCAGCTTTTCTCTGTGGGGGCTAACTACTCCGGGAGAGGCGGCTGGCTGTGGCAGCCTGGGTGCCTCTCGTGCCTCCTGTTGGTGCCATGTGGTGGTCGGGCTGCTGCTCCCGGTGCCGTTGGCTCCTTTTGATGGCATTTCCGTCTTTTTTGTTGCCTATTGCATCTGTACTCAGCTACTTGTTCTTTTACTTTAGCTGTGTGTGTGTGTGTGTGTGTGTGTGTGTGTGTGTGTCTGCTCAGAGGAGGAGCTGATGTGATCCTGGCGTTATGCTCCAACCCGAGCCCTCAAGTTCAAATATAAAAGTAGAGGTGATCGCTCCTTCTAGGCTGCTGCACCCCAACTTTGGAATGAACTTCCTTAATCTTTACATAGAACTGATAGTCTAATCATCTTTAAAAACAAACAAACAGCAAAGACCCTTTTATTGAAAGCTGCTTTTACTTAAAGCTTGTGTTTTCTCCTTTTTTAACTTGAATTTATAATCATCGTTTAAGATAATTATGTTTTTATGACCTTAAGATTTGTTTTTGATCCATGTGGAGCACTTTGTGATTCTCGAGTGTGTTATATAAATAAAAATTTACTTTACTCACTTACTTTACTTGGTCCTGCATTGCATGTAGTACTGGAGTGTTCCACTAGGAGGCACAGCAGAGAACACGGACCTGATAGATTCCCAGGTTTGTAGGGTTCAGCCAAAACAAACATGGCCTCAACAGAAGAGATCGGTAACTGGTTCATTTTGAGATCACGACAGAAAACATGATATAGCCATTTCAAACACACGTACACATTGTTAAAAAACAAGTCTATTCCTGGCCTTAGACGGTGATAGCTAGAGGAGCTCAGAGTAGAGCTGCTGCTCCTCCACATTGACAGGAGTCAGATGAGGTGGTTTGGACGTCTGGTAATGATGCTTTCTGGTCGTCATCCTGTGGAGGTTATCTAGACATGTCCTACTCATAGAGACCCCAGGGAAGAAGATGCTGTAGGGATTGAATAACTCCTCTGTGGCCTAGGAACACCTCACAATCTCACAGAAGGTGCTCTTTGACCTGTAGCCTCTGTAACTCGACTAACATGTCCAACATAAGTGGAGGAACATAGATGGAATATCAGCAAATGACCAGTCCTGCTTAAAAGTCTCTGCTAGTGTGATGGGTTGAAATATTCTAATTACTGTTTACTGTGTTTACCACTATGTGTGATTTAATGAATAATAAGAAACAGGTTCATTATTGTTTACACTTGCATTGCTTGTCAGTACTTTTTCTGTTATGCTTCTTAAACTTCATTGCAATTTAGTTGTTGTAGTAACAAAGGGTGGCCACCGGAGGGAGTCTAGCGCTAGTGACCCATAGAAGAGATCACGACCCTCCTGGCTCATTCAATATATGTTTGAGCAGAGGGAATAACATGTCCGTGTTTCTTTTATCATTCACTCCCCTTTTCAGGTAAGATTGTATGCATAAGCACACCTGTACTGTAAGATGTAACCAGACCAATTGAACGTTCGGAAATGCACTGTGTGGTAGATTCGTTGTTTACTATGTTTTGGAGCTGTTGAATAAGGTTTAGCCACCGTTAGCCGCTAGTCCATAGCCGACGATGCTAATTAACTAAGAAGATGACGGTTGGTACTTTTCACTTGTTTCTTTGTGATGACTCTGTATGCATGGACGTAATTTTCACTTTAGAAGTGGGGGGGACACGGGGGGGGGGGGATCTTTACAGTATGCTCTAATGGGAAACAGGCCTCTCCTCCTTGAACCGTCACCTTATCGTGGTGGAGGAGTTTGAGTGCCCTAATGATCCTAGGAGCTATGTTGTCTGGGGCACTTAGTGCCCCTGGTAGGGTCTCCCATGACAAATTGGTCTTAGGTGAAGGGTGAGACAAAGAACGGTTCGAAGGATCTTTCATGGCGGTTAAAACGAAGAGTCGGAGTACCCGGCCCGGAGGGGTACCGGGGTCCCACCCTGGAGACAGGCCTGGGGTTGGGGCCCGTGAGCGAGCGCCTGGTGGCCGGGCTTTCGCCCATGGGGCCTGGCCGGGCCCAGCCCGAACCGGATACATGGGCTCGCCCAACTGTGGACCCACCACCTGCAGGAGGAACATGAAGGGTCTGGTGCAATGCGAATCGGGTGGCAGACCAAGGCGGGAGCCTTGGCGGTCCAATCCCCGGACAAGAAAACTAGTTTTTGGGACATGGAACGTCACCTCGCTGGCGGGGAAGGAGCCGGAGCTTGTGGCAGAGGTTGAGCGGTACCGGCTAGATATAGTCGGACTCACCTCGACACATTGCATTGGCTCTGGAACCCGAGACCTGGAGAGGGGTTGGACACTCTACTTTGCTGGAGTTGCTCTGGGTGAGAGGCGGAGGGCTGGGGTTGGCTTTTTGTTAGCCCCGAGACTCTCTGCCTGTGTGTTGGGGTTTACCCCGGGGGACAAGAGGGTAGCTTCCTTGCGCCTTCGGGTCGGGGAACGGGTCCTGACTGTTGTTTGTGCTTATGGGCCAAATATCAGTTCAGAGTACCCACCCTTTTTGGAGTCCCTGGGACGAGTGCTAGATAGTGCTCCATCAGGGGACTCCATTGTCCTGCTGGGGGACTTCAATGCTCACGTGGGCAATGACAGCTTGACCGGAGGGGTGTGAGTGGGAGGAACGGCCCACCTAATCTGAACTCGAGCGGTGTTTTGTTATTGGACTTCTGTGCAAGCCGCAGTTTGGCCATAACGAACACCATGTTCGAACATAAGGATGCCCACCGGTACACTTGGTACCAGGGCAGCCTAGGTCACAGGTCGATGATAGAATTTGTAGTCGTATCATCTGACCTGCGGCCGTATGTTTTGGACACCCGAGTGAAGAGAGGGGCGGAGCTGTCAACTGATCACCACCTGGTGGTGAGTTGGATCAGATGGCAAGGGAACATGCCGCGTAGACCTGGCAGACCCAAACGCATAGTGAGGGTCTGCTGGGAACGCCTGGCAGAAGAACCTGTCAAGACGGTCTTCAACTCCCACCTCCGGCAGAGCTTTGACCACGTCCCGAGAGCAGTGGGGGACATTGAGTCCGAGTGGGCCTTGTTCCACTCTGCGATTGTCGAGGCGGCTGTTGCTAGCTGTGGTCGTAAGGTGGCCGGTGCCAGTCGTGGTGGCAACCCCCGTACCCGCTGGTGGACACCAGAGGTTCGGGGAGCCGTCAGGCTGAAGAAGGAGGCCTACAGGGCGTGGCTGGTCTGTGGGTCTCCGGAGGCAGCAGACAGGTACCGGATAGCCAAGCGGAGTGCAGCAGTGGCAGTTGCCGAGGCAAAATCTCGGGCGTGGGAGGAGTTTGGTGAGGCCATGGAGAAAGACTATCGATCGGCTCCAAAGAGGTTCTGGCAAACTGTCCGGCGCCTCAGGAGAGGAAGGCAGCAACTCGCTCACACTGTTTACAGTGGGGATGGGGAGCTGCTGACGTCAACTGAGGCTATAGTCGGACGGTGGAAGGAATACTTTGAGAAGCTCCTCAATCCCACCAATGCGCATTCCGAGGAGGAACCAGAGCTGGGAGGCCTGGGGATGGACTGTCCGATCTCGAGGGCAGAAGTTGCTGAGGTAGTCAAACAACTACACAGCGGCGGAGCCCCGGGGGCGGATGAGGTTCGTCCTGGGTATCTCAAGGCTATGGATGTTGTAGGGCTGTCATGGTTGACACGTCTCTACAACATTGCGTGGTCATCGGGGGCAGTTCCTAGGGAGTGGCAGACCGGGGTGGTGGTCCCCATCTTTAAGAAGGGTGACCTGAGGGTGTGTTCAAACTATAGGGGGATCACACTCCTCAGCCTCCCTGGAAAGGTCTACTCCAAGGTACTGGAGAGGAGGGTCCGATCGATAGTTGAATCTCAGATAGAGGAGGAGCAATGTGGTTTTCGTCCTGGCCGTGGAACTGTGGACCAGCTCTATACCCTTGCAAGGGTGATGGAGGGGGCATGGGAGTTTGCCCAACCAATCCACATGTGCTTTGTGGATTTGGAGAAGGCTTATGACCGTGTCCCCAGGGGCACCCTGTGGGGGACGCTCCAGGAGTATGGGGTGGGTGGCTTTCTGTTAAGGGCCATTCAGTCCCTTTACCAGAGGAGCGTGAGTTTGGTCCGCATAGCCGGTAGTAAGTCGGACCTGTTCCCAGTGAGGGTTGGACTCCGCCAGGGCTGCCCTTTGTCACCGGTTCTGTTCATCACTTTTATGGACAGAATTTCTAGACGCAGCCGTGGTGTGGAGTGTGTCGAGTTTGGTGGCAGGAGAATCTCGTCTCTGCTTTTTGCGGATTATGTGGTCCTCCTAGCTTCATCCAGCTCTGACCTTCAGCTCTTGCTGGGTAGGTTCGCGGCCGAATGTGAAGCGGCTGGGATGAGGATCAGCACCTCCAAATCTGAGACCATGGTTCTCGACCGGAAAAGGGTGGCTTGCCACCTCCGGGTCGGGGGAGAGGTCCTACCTCAAGTGGAGGAGTTTAAGTATCTCGGGGTCTTGTTCACGAGTGAGGGTAGGAGGGATCGGGAGATCGACAGGCGGATTGGTTCGGCGTCTGCAGTGATGCGGACGCTGAGCCGATCTGTCGTGGGGAAGAGGGAGCTGAGCCAGAAAGCCAGGCTCTCGATCTACCGGTTGATCTACGTCCCAATCCTCACCTGTGGTCATGAGCTTTGGGTAATGACCGAAAGAACGAGATCGCGGATACAAGCGGCCGAAATGAGTTTCCTCCGTAGGGTGGCCGGGCTCAGTCTTAGAGATAGGGTGAGGAGCTCGGACATTCGGGAGGGACTCGGAGTAGAACCGCTGCTCCTCCGGATCGAAAGGAGCCAGTTGAGGTGGTTTGGGCATCTGGTCAGGATGCCTCCTGGACGCCTCCCCGGGGAGGTGTTTCGGGCATGTCCTGCCGGCAGAAGGCCCCCGGGTCGACCCCGGACACGTTGGAGAGGTTACATCTCCAATCTGGTCCGGGAACGCCTTGGGGTCCTGCCGGAGGAGCTGGTGGACAAGGCCGGGGAGAGGACGGCCTGGAGCTCCCTAGTTGGGATGCTGCCCCCGCGACCCGGACCCGGATAAGCGGAGGAAGACGACGACGACGACGACGGGAAACAGGCTTCAA